GGTTTAGTCCCTACAGTTTGGAATATACATTTACAAGGAATGCAAGTCCACTTTCAAACAGTACTAGAACACTTCTTGGGTAGTGCAAGTACCTTATAATAATAAAGTATCCCGAGTTTATCCATCCCCTCACTTGTATCATTGCTGTCATTGATTTCACTTCTATAAAAACATGCATAAGCATATATATGCATACTTGATGTAATACGTTGTTGCTATTATTATTTTGGACAAAAATTGTTGGTGGATCAATTAAGAAAAATAAGTTTTTATTTTACCTTCAGTTATTTATCCTTTCTTTATGTGGATTCAAGTTTCTGATCTAGATTGTTTTCCTTCTCTCTGAAGAACTTCTTTTTGGCTTGTTTATTAATGATTTTATATTTATTAATAGATATTAGATGTTACATTTTTATCATTTTCAGGGAAAGTGTAGGTTTTTCTGCCCTGTTGGAACAGTTTAAAGTGAATATACTGGATGCTATGGAAGAGGACTCAACCATTGCTATTATCAAGTAATAATAGTGAATATTCACATATGTGGTTCCTTTTTTTTTTTTTTTTTTTTAGAATATTTGGGTTCTTTTTGGTTTTTGGAGCTTTTTTTTTGATGAGGAAGATTGGCCCTGAGCTAAGATCTATTTCCAATCTTCCTCTTTTTGTTTTTCTCCCCAAGCCCCAGCACATAGTTGTCTATCCTAGTTATAAGTCCTTCTAGTTCTTCTATGTGGGATGCTGCCACAGCCTTGCTTGATGAGTGGTGTGTAGGTCCACACCCAGGATCCGAACTGGCAAACCCTGGGCTACCAATGCAGAGGACACAAAGTTAACCACTCAGCCATGGGGCTGGCCCCTGTGTGGTTTCTTAATACTGTTTCCAGTTGAACTATTTTGCAAACACTGAACAATCTGTATCACATTTAAGTAAATATTTTCATTGAAGATTTTCTGAGAATAATTTTGAAGCTGGGCTTGTTTGCTTGTTTTTAAAATTTCAGGACATACTGTCTCTTGAGATACTGCTTTCTCTTGTTACTGCTACTCACTTTAGATTTATCCCTTGTTTTTTGTACTGATCTTCAATGTTCTTTTTTCCTATAAAAAAAGGCTCTATTGAGGTATCTTTGATACATAAAAATTATCTATACTTAAGGTGTATCTGAGAACTTCTTTTAACATTTCTTGCAAGGCAGGTATACTGGCAACAAATTCCCTCAATTTCTTTTTGTCTGAGAAAGTCCTTTTTTTCCTCCACTTTTGAATATAATTTCACTGGGTACAGAATCCTAGGTTGGTGATTTTTTTCTCTCAACACTTCAAATATTTCACTCCACTCTGTTCTTGCTTGCATCTTTACTGAGAAGTCAGATATAATTCTTCTCAAGGTAATATGTTTTTTTCTTTGGCTTCATTAAAAATTGTTTATCTTTGAATTTCTGAAGTTTGAATATGATGTACGTATGGGTTTTTTGTTTTGTTTTGTCATTTATCCTGGTTGGTGTTCTCTGAGCTTCTTGTATCTGTGGTTTGGCCTATGATATTAATTGGGGGAAATTCTTTCTTCGAATATTCTGTTCCTTTCTCTCTTTCTTCTCCTTCTGGAATTCCCATTGTGTGTATGTTATACTTTTTGTAGTTGTCCCACAGTTCTCGGATATCTTGTTCCAGTTTTTATCAGTCTTTTTTCTCTTTGCTTTTTAGTTTAAGAGGTTTCTATTGACATATCCTGAAGCTCAAAGATTCTTTCCTCAGCCATGTGTGGTCTACTACTGAGCCCATCAAAGGCATTCTTTCATTTTCCTTAAAAGGTATTTCATCTCTAACATTTCTATTTCGTTCATTCTTAGGAGTTGCATCTCTCTGCTTACATTCATTACCCATCTGTTATTGCATGTTGTCTTTTTTTTCTATTAGAGCCTTTAGCATATTAATCATAGTTTTAACTTACCAGTCAGATAATTCCAACGTCCCTGACATATATGGTCTGGTTTTGATGATTATTCTGGCTCTTCACACTGTGTTTTTTGCCTTTTAGCATGCCTTGTAACTTTTTGCTGATAGGTGGATACTACGTACTGGGTAGAAGAAACTGCAGTAAGTAGGCCTTTAATAATATGGTGGCAAGGTGTAGGGGCAGGGGAAACATTCCATAGTGCTATGATTAGGTCTCAGTCTTTTTGCGTCCCTGCTGTGTGAACTTCACAAGTGCTCCTCAATTTTCTTTTCTAACCCCCACAGGTAGTACAGGAAGGCAAGAGGGGGTTGTATTTGGGTATTTCCCTTCTCCCATATATTAGGCTAGGTAGGCCAGAGTTGATTGTTTCCCTTCTCCCATGCTGGTTAGGTTCTGATAAAACCCCAATAGTTTAGGCTATGGTAAAATAATTTCTGTTTGGTGCAGGCCTTGTTAAGTAGAAGATACTCTGGCATATTTCAAAATGGTTCTTGTTCTCCTCCCCCCAGTGGAAGCCCAGGGAGATTTTCTGATCATCTTCATTGTGAGAAGGTGGTAGAGCTCACGAAGGTAAAGCCACAAAAGCAGGGGGCCCCTGACAGCTGGGGGCCTGGGGTCTCAGGCTTATCCATGCCGAGCCTCCAGCAATTCGTCTGTCTTCTCGCCTGGTACTGGTTCCTGTGGAGGTTTCTGCTCCAGGAAGTTGTGGTTTTCTGTATCTCCAATTTTGGGGGCAGCAGTTTGACCTGTGACCTCAATTTTCTGACAAATCTTAAATACTTGTTGATTTTATAGTTTGTTCAGCTTTTTACTTGTTGTTAGGAAGTTACAGCAACTTCTAAACTCCTTAAATGCTCAACCAGAAACTGGAAGTCTTGCTTCAGTGTTTTTGTCTTGTTTCATTTTTATTAATAAGGGCATTGTTTGCCTCGATTCTCATCTGACATGTTATAAAGATACATCCCATCTTTTTTGATCAGCAAAAATTTCTGTATTTGTACTAAATGTGGGCACATTCATAAGAAAAGTGAATTTCCTCACAGCTCTGAACTTTGTTGTGTGCATTATGAAGGTCTGGTGTAACGAAGTTTCCCTCGGCCGACAGCAGTAATGCTCCACTGTTAACTGCTTCTGCTCCCAGTGCAGAGGTCCACATATCCTCCCTGGCTCCTCAAAAGTAAGTGACAGTTTTTCAAATGGTTTGGGATAATAGGAATTTCTGTGCTTGGGATAATATCCCTATGGTAGAAGCCTATGTTGGGAAAATCTCCTGAAATCAACTTGGTAAAGCTTCCATTCTCTCATTCATTCCTCTGCAATTGAGATAGCAAATGTTTTAGAACTTGCCCAATATCCCTTTTTGGTCCCAGGTCATTTTATCGAATTCCAGCAATCACTGGGGCCCCAGTGTCTCAGATCATTATCTGGTTTTCAAGGAGTAAATAACATGAGATTGATGACATCCAATTCTATGACATTTCCATGACCTGATGACATATGTCCCTTCAAGAAAACAAAGTCACATAGCTACAGCAATTCTGTGAATATCTTTTAGGAGAAAAATGTGTCTCTTATTGAGTGTTGGTTTTTTCTTTTATAGTCAAGCCAGTAAAAGAGATAAGAGAAAAAAATAGAATTGGTATAAAATAAGAGAGGAATGGGCTTCTCTTTGAGTTCTTGAAAGCTATATAGAAAAGAACCTCCAGCCTTCTCTCCTGCAATGATTCCCTTTGTGAGTGCATCTCAAGACTCACTCTCTAAAATTACATGGCAGTCAATTGTGGAAACACAGGTGAGGTCAGGATTTTTACACAGTCTGGAGGAAATTTTAATTAGGAGTAATAAAAATTATTTTTCAAGTCACTTTTAATAATTGATCAGTCATAAGAAAGTAATCTAAAATCTATAGAAGTCTTTCAGTATAAATATATATTAATATCAGCTTTATTTATAACTACACAATAGTGGAAACAATTAAATGCCCAAAAGATTGGGATGCCTATGCAAATAATGGAACACCTTTAATATAATTATGCAGTCACTAAATGTTTGTAAAGGGTTTTTTTTTTTCCACCCATTTTTCCCACCCCCTACCCCCACCCTCTGGCAACCACCAATCTGTTCTCTGTATCTATGAGTTTGGGTTTTTTTTTTTTAATATTCCACATATAAGTGAGATCACACTGTATTTGTCTTTCTCTGACTTAATTTGACTTAGCATAATGCCCTCACAGTCCATCCATGTTGTTGCAAATGGCAAGATTTCCTTTTTTTTATGGCTGAATAATATGAATATTCCACTGTATGTGTGTGTATCACATTTTCTTTATCCATTCATCTGTCAGTGGACACTTAGTTGTTTCCAAGTCTTTGCTACTGTAAATAATGCTGCGATGAACATGGAGGTGCAGATATATTTTCAAGATAGTGATTTCGTTTCCTTCAGATAAATACTCAGAAGTGGAATTGCCGGATCATATGGTAGTTCTGATTTTAAGTTTTTGAGGGACCGCTATACTGTTTTCCATGGTGGCCGCACTGATTTATATTCCCACAAGCAGTGCACAAGGGTTCCCTTTTCACCACATCTTTGCCAATACTTGTTATTTTTGTTTTTGTTTTTTTTTTTTAAAGAATGGCACCTGAGCTAATACTTCCTCTTCCCAGAGCCCCCTAGTACGTAGTTGTATGGTCTAGCTGTAGGTCCTTCTGGCTCTGCTGTGTGGGACGCTGCCTCAGCATGGCTCAATGAGCAGTGCTAGGTCCATGCCGAGGATCCGAACCTGCGAAACCCTGGGCACCAGAAGGCACAAACCCAACCACTTGGCCACGGGCGGGCCCTATTGTCTTTTTGATAATAGCCATTCTAACAGGTGTGAGGTGTTATCTCATTGTGGTTTTGATTTGCATTTCCCTGGTGATTAGTGAGGTTGAGCGCTTTTTCATATACCTGTTGGCCATTTGTATGTCTTCTTTGGAAAAATGTGTATTCAGATACTCTTCTCATTTTTTAATCAGAGAGTTTGGTTTTGTTCTGTTGAGTTATATGAGGTTTTCTTTTATTTTTTAAAATTTTTTGAGGATTATTTTTTAATATGTGGAAATTGTTTTATTAGGATATTAAGTGCCAAAAGGAGGAGATACTACATACTAAGTAACGGTGCTTTAAAATGCACACCAAAAAATAGTTAACACACGTTATTGAAATGTTCACATTGGTTTTTATAGAACAACTATATTATGGATAATTTGACTCTCTTGTATTTTTTTTAAATTTCTCAGATAATTTTATTAATTTTTGTAATGAAATTTATCAGAGAGCAAATATTTCATGTCTTCTTTCTCTTGTAGTGTAAGGCCTAAAATTACATGTGCTGTAATCTTTGGTATCTTTGAACCTCAGAGAGATCCAAAAGCCTAACCCTGAGTTCCCCTGTTCTCACAAGATATGCCCAGCAGCCAGGGGGAAATGCACTCACCCAGTGAGTTCCCATATCAGCCAGACCAACTGCACCCACCTGGTCATCAACTGAAGTGATTCATCTCCCTAACAGCCACAAACTTAATCAAACCAACCACATCCTCCCACAGGAAACAGAGGGCACCTCCTCCTCTTGTTAGAATAAATCCCGCTCCCGTGGCTCTTGTTTTACTCTGCTCCCAGACGACACCACCCTGAGGCATGTGGTGTCCTCCTCCCCTAGGATGTGAGGATATGTGACTAATAAACTGCTTCAATCTCATCTATCTAGTGTCTGGGTGTCATGTGTTCAGACAGCTCCAGAACCCTGGGGCAGGACTCCATCCATCAGCAGTGGCTGACAAAACACCTTCCTACTCATTTGTACCACTATTCCATGAGTTGTCAGCATCTGCACGGAATAGGATTTTTACAAAGCTCAATCAACCTTCAAATAGAAGTGCTAGCTATGTTGGCAGCATAGTTTTTATGCACTGTCAGCAGTCGAGCTACTAAAAATAAACTTAGTCTGTGACTGAAATTTTATTTTACTAAGCCTAAAAATCTAAAAGGAATAATATTATACTTTTGCTCTATTTATAAAACAGATGGGGCTAAAATTACAGGTAAGGAATCCTCATTGAGTGTTGACTCAGAGGGAAAAGGAGTCTTTGAGATAATTTCTTCAGGTTGGGAGACAGGGGAACATTACAATAAGAACTGAGAGTTAAAGTGGAAAATGTTGGTAGCAGAAAAAGACATTCATACACTGCTGTGAAAATAGAAAATGGTATAATCAGGATGAGAAATCTGTCAACATCACAAGTTAAAATGCAAACAGCAAATCCACTTTTGAGAATTTAACTGACATATAAGCCTACAAATGTGCAAACTGAAGTTAATGGAGGACTATTAATTGGAATATTGTTTGTAAGAAAAAAACAGGAAAGTCCTTAATTATCTACTGGTAGAGTTTTGTTTCTTAAAAGGGGGTTGAGTTACACATACTGTGGCTTTGCAGTTGTTGAAAATGATTACATTCCTTATATGCTGATTTGGAAACACATTTGTGTGAAAAAAATATATACTTATGTATGCTTACAACATACACAGTATTTGTAACTGCATAAGCATATTATATATATTTATATGTGAATCTGTATATTTTATTTGAAAATAACTTATCTGGAAGGATACACACCAAAATCAAAATGTTGTGGATTCTGTTAGCTACTCTATGTCTGAAATATATGGCAGAAGAGGTTGCTCACATTTTCATTTAAACTTCATATACTTTTTGAAATGTTACTTTGTGCATGGCTTGCATATTTAAAATGTTGTGATGCTGGTAACGAATGTAAGGGCATCCTTTGATGAGAACTTTCCATTTCACCTTTCCTGAACCTTCTCAAGAATCTAGGTACATAGGGATGCAGCCTTGATTCTGCTCAGATTTTGATCCTCAGACCGTAATTTATCTTCACTGTCCAAACAACTGAGAAGCAAAGTATTTTTCAATGAGATCTCATGACCAGGCATTATACATTAAAAGATCTTTCTCAACCTATGGGCTTTTAAACACAGTCAAGTCCATGAATTCATAATACAGCAAAGATGGATGAAAAGAACTGCTTAGCAACAGTCCATTTCTGGTGGACATAATATTGTAAGATGTTTAATAAGGTATTGCTTTTTGCTTTAGCTTGCAGGGAATTCCTGCAATCGGTGATCTTGAAAAAGGGACCAAAATTCATTCTCCTTTTTTCTACAATGAGAAGATTTCTCAGCTGGAAACATGGCTTTGCCAATAAACAGTTATGTGACCTCAGAAGCTTCAAGTCAAAAATATCCATAGTAAGTACCTGTGGCATTGAGCGTGATAGGGAAGGGATACACTCACGCACACGCGTAACACACGCACGCACAGTCTGGTTGGATTATGAACCCACCTTCAGGAACTCGCACGCGACCGTCCTCGGGTCACATCGCTGATCCCACAGGGCGGCCCGGCACACACAGGCCTGCGGCCTCGGAAGGGAAGCGCCCCGCAGCCCCTCTCCGAACCCTCCAGTCCCTCCCGCCCGGACGCGCCTCCTCCTCCGGGACGCCCGAGGCCACCCCCGGCCTCAGGTCGGCCGCCAGCACAGCGGGATGTGCGCCTGCGCAGCCGAGTCCGGCCCTCCCAGAAGCCTCCGGGGCGGCGGGCGGTGCTTCCCACGGACGGTGGCGACCCCGGAGCCGCCTTCACGGGCGCAGGGACGTCGCCTCGGCGCGTTTCCGTCCCGGTGGGGGCCGCGCGTGAGGAGGAGACGGGCGCGGGTCGCGCGGGAAGGACGCAGCGTCGCAACCCGAAGCCCGCGGGACGGGAGCGGGTGAGGGGCCGCGGGGGTCCGAGCGAGGGGGCGCAGGGCTGGGAGCCGGGAGGGGCGCGGCGTCCTGGGTGACGGGGTCGCGGGGGCTACGGGGCTCTGTGGGGTCGGGTGGCGCGTGCCTCTCGGTCCCCGCCTCTTCGGCCCTCCTGTCAGCCCCGCTCGGCTGCCGCGGAGATGTGGCCGCACGTGGGGAACACTGAGCCCGAGAAAAGGTCTTGGTGAGAAGGTGCAGACCCGAAAGGACGGGCGTGCAGATCAGGAATTGTCCCCGCCGCGGGCTCCTGGGGGCATCTGGGTGGAGACTTCAAGAACAGGCTTCCTCCCGGGGACTGTGCCCCCCGGGGCTTCTCGGGGGTCGTGTGCATGGTTGAGAGCGACCGCGTTCCCTGAGCTCCGAGCGCGGGAACTGCCGCGAGTCTGACCCGGATTCCAGGCTCTTCTTCCTTCCGTGTGGCTGCGCGCCGTCACAGGGCCGCGGCCGTGGAGGGTGGGACGTCGTGCTCCCTCGGTGCTGTGTTTATTCTGGATCGTTCGCCCTTAAGATTTCTGTAGCTCGGAAGTATCGAAAGTGTGAAGTTAATGTCATGAGTGTTTGCACGTCTAATTACTAGACAAATGCTAAAGTTTTTCGGAACAGGAGTTCGGACCAGGGGTCCCTAATATTTGTGGGTTTACAGGGGACCACAGACCGACCCCTCGTAGTTGTATAGAGAATTCCTCTATGCTTTGTAAAAATGCATTTTTGTAAGATGTACATAACCCAAAAGATTTAGATCTGGATTTTTGATCTGCAAAGATTGTTATACGTTCGTATGGTTTGGCATGAAATTGATGATCAAGATAATGGAAATAGTTAAGAAAATCACTGCCATCCATGGGGTAGAATATTATGCAGGTAATAAAAATTCTGTTCATAAGAATTACTCATTATACGAAAAAATGGGTATGATCTAACGTTAAGCTGTCTTTATATTGTAGATATTAGTACTTTAGTAAATTGATTATTTATTTATATGCAGCTCATTTTGAAAAGAGAATTTTGTGAAAACTTTTTGCAAGGATTGTCTGCAAAATGCTGGTTTAATAAGTTATTCAGAGAAGGAAGGAGTTTAGCCACATTTCTTGGGCATTTTCCGTGCACTCAAAACTTTTCAGCCTATTTTGTGTACATATTCTTATTAATTTGCAAAGGCAATATCCGTCTCCATTAATGTTAAAGTATTTATAGTGAGATATCTCTTAATTGTACCAATGCAGTACAGCTAAAGAATTTTCAAGAACAGGTAAGTGGTTATTTGTTTCAATCACGTTGATAATAGCCCATTTTTTCACAGGCCTAATATCTACATGTTTTTTAAATGAGAAAGGTAAAGCTTCTTCCCAAAGTGATGTCTATAAATATTTTCAATACTTTGAAATATCTTTATGTTGTATTTATGATGATGGAATGAATGCAGGTTTATTGCAAAAAAAATTTTATTTCCTGATAAATTTATTAAGAAAGCAAGAATAACCCATAATCTTTCTGTCTAGAGATAATCACCTTAAATATTTTAGTGTATTTTTTCCAGTGTTTATTTTTCCATTTCCATGTGGTTTTGTTTCAGCAGAATAGAATTAATCAAATAAAGGAAACAGAGTCCAACTGTTAGTTTGAAAAAGAAATCTAATTCAGTTCATAGGTGTCTTTATACCTCTGTGCATGTAGAGAGAAGAGGACAGGGCCAGGAACTTCTTGTTTGAAAGACATTCCAGTAGTTAAACCTTTTAGTTCATAGAAATGTTATTTAAAACTTTATTACCAGTACACCATATTACTAAATAGAATTAGTAGTTTAGAGATTTAAGATTACTTTCAGAAAAAAACAGGACTAATCTCTGATTTTTAGGTGTTTTGCAAGTGCAAATAATATTTCCAAACATAGTTATTATATCAGAAGATAAAGATTATGAGTGTTTATATAACTCTCCTATTGTGCAGATGAATAAGATTCATTCTCCAGTTAATGTTTTCAGTTTTATTGTGCTGTTCTTGGAACAAATTTAAGATGCTGAACAGAGTTTTTCTTGCTGTCTGTAGCTGCTGGGGACTGAGGAAAGGGACATTTTCTCTTTTTTTGTTTAATAATCTCTCTCTCTCTTTTTTTTAACTCATGATTTTATTAAGCAGAATTCTGTTTTCTCAAGTGGAGGTCTTTAAATTTTAAAAATTAGGATTATAAGAAAGAGAAAGCCCAAGAAGCATAGTTTTAATATAATAAAAACAGGGAGCACCAAACTTAACTTCCTTTTCTAATAAAAGTTTCAGGGACGTGGAATAATTTTCATCTTGAATGATGATAGATAATTTCCATTAGTCATGCTGATACACATTTTAGTCTTCAAGATGGTCATATGTCATAGGTGATACTCTTATCCCTGCTTTGCTGATGAATAAACAGGTGCTGAGGTATTTTTAACTCTCATAGCTCAGAGCTCAATATCACTTCCTGAAAGTCTGAAAACAGTGCCTGTTTCTTTTCTTTTTTTTTTTAAGATTGGCACCTGAGCCAACATCTGTTGCCAGTCCTTTTTTTCTTCTTCTTCTTCTCCCCAAGGCCCCCGAGCACATAGCCGTGTACTCCAACTGTAGGTCCCTCCGGCTGTGCCATGCGGGATGCTGCCTCAGCATGGCTTGACAAGCAGTGCCTTGTCTGCCTTGTGGATCCGAACCGGCAGAACCCGGGGTGACTGAAGCGGAGTGCGCAAACCCAACGACTTGGCCACGAGGCCAGCCCCAATGCCTGTTTCTTAATTTCAACTGGATACCACCTCTTAAATTATGCATACTTTTTTAAACCTACCATCTTCACCAAGCAATTCTTTTAATCTTGTTTTCCATCAATTGCATGGTTTAATATCATCCTTATTAATTACGGCACAGTATGTCACAGTATAGCAGAGCATTATATATTTAACTTCTTTGCCTGCTGTGAGATTTTTCTGTTTTTAATTTTGGACTATCAAAAATTATTCTCTGGTGGGGACAGCCCAGTGGCGCAGCAGTTAAGTTTGTATTCTCTGCTTTGGGGCCCAGGGTTTGCCCGTTCGGATCCCTGGTGTGGACATACGCACTGCTTATCAAGCGATACTGTAGGAGGCATCTCAGATATAAAATAGAGGGAGATGGGCACAGATGTTGGCTCAGGGCCAGTCTTCCTCAGCAAGAAGAGGAAGATTGGCAGCAGATGTTAGCTCAGGGCTAATCTTCCTCAAAAGAAATTATTCTCTGATGAACATCCTTGTGCTTATACATTGTGAACTTCCATAGTTATTTCCTTTAAAAATTTTCTAGAAGTGGTGTTTTTTGGTGAAAAATAATACTTCCTTTAAGATTGGACTTCTCCCTTCTAAGCTCATAAGTCCATCTTAGCATCACTAAAAGTCTGTCAGCAGACATATGCTTCTTGATGTGATGCTTTGTGAAGTACAAAGCACCACTTGTGACCTATTTATGCAAAAGAATATGAAGCAGAATCTAATCAAGCATTTTGATCTTAAAGTTAATAGGAAATACAGGGATAAAGGAACAATTTAAATGACACCACAAGAAAGCATCAGAAATACCCAGGATGTGGGATACTCTCCAGGACTACCGAGCTGGTTTATATAACAAGCAAAAATCTTGAAAAGAAAATCTAAAGAGAAGAATGGATTTAAGAAATTTAACTATTAAATGTAAAGAGTGTAACTTATTTGGATCCTGATTTGAACAAACCAAGTATAAAAACATTTATGAGACAGTTGGAAGACCTTCGAAGATGGACTGAATTTTAGATTATATTAAGGAAATAATACTTCTTTTGATACTGGTATTGTGATTATGTAAGAAGACATCCTTATTTTTTAGAGAAATATTTAAGGGTGAAATTACAGAAAAAATGGCAAAATAATGGGAAATCTCTGGGATGTGTTTTAAAATACTACAAGAAAAAAAAAAGACGGATGAAGGAAGCGTAACAAAAGATTAGTAGTTGTTGAAACTAGGTGGCAGACGTATCACAGTTCATAATATTATTACTCTCTGCTTTTGTGTGTGTTCATAAATTTTTCATGAGATAGAATTAAAATTATTGTGTCCTGCAAATACTGCCTTGTAAAATGTGTAGAAATTGAAACATACTCTGCAGTTTCACCATTTCAACAAATAAAATCCCCTTCATAGTCCTGGAAAGAAGAAATCATACTTCTTTTAATTGTCTGCACTATGCCAAGTCTGGAACGTGTAATACTTGGAGTAATACAGTACCTAAAAAGACATATTGATGAGGTGATTGGGAACATGTTGTGGAAGAGCATAGTGGTAACATTAAGTCCGTTCCTGCGGGGACACTAAAGCACAGCTGGTCTCAAGGTCTTTCTCTTCTCCCAGGTCCGGGATTTGTGGACTCTGCTCTAATGGCAGAGGAACCCAAAGGACTGGTCAGCTCTTGCAGGTCTAAAACCATGGCCCATGTAAGTTGATGTTTATCTCCTTATTGAAATATGTGTGTTTTTTAGGTCATATTGGTATTTTCATCAATTTTCCTGCAGTTCCTAAAAGAAAGGCCCCGCAAATAACCTGCTTCCCAGCTCTTGTTCCACAGAGCAATGATGCCAGATTACCTGGTGCCCCCTCTGTGTGGCCCATTCTTAAGTAACTGGGGTTCATGTAATTATTGACTGAGTTGTTCAGCATATGTTAAGTGCCCATTCTTCTGTTGAGGGCAGGCATGGAGTAGTGAAGCAGTTCAGTTCTTTGAGTAAAGCTTTATGCAGTGCGGGTCAGGTCTGCAGTATGGTGAGATGCAGACGGTGGTTCTGTTTGACTGTCCACAATAAGACTGACATATTCTGCATACCTGAGATTTCCAGAAGATGAGGTGAAATTTGTCATTGAATGACCTGAATCTTAATGTAGGGTGAGATCTCATCTTGGTATGGATTAGTGTATGATTGGGGCTTTTAACATGGAGCTCGTGAATTTGGTAGGAAAACGATGAGACATGAGGCTATTTTGTTGTTGAATTAGCTTAGCTTGGGTGACATCTGTATAATTGACCAACCTTCTTCAGTATCCTTTAACTCAATGTATGATCTATTACTGTATAATTAATTACCCTGAAACATAGTGTCATAAAGCAGTAAGCATTTATCTCAGAGTTTCAGAGGGTCAGGAGTCTGCACGTGACTCTGGGTCTCTTAGAAGGCCGTCAGTGTGTCGGTCAGGGTTGGCGTCATCTCAGAGCTCAACTTTGGGCAGATCTGCTTCCAAGCCCACTCAAGTGGTTGTTGACAGGATCCAGTGCTTCATGGGCCATTGGACCGGGGGCCTCACTTCCTCAGTAGGTGCTGGCTGGAGACTGTTCTTGGTTTGTTGTTATGTGGGCCTCTCCAGAGGGTGGCTCACAGCATGTTAGGTGGCTTCCTCAGAGTGAGCAAGTGAGACAGCAAGAGAGGACGAGCAATGTGGAAATCATAGTCTTTTATAACCTAGTGTTGGAAGTGACATTCCATCACGTTTACTATATTCTATTTGTTAGGAGCAAATTACTCTTGCTAGGTTCAGCCCACATTGAAAGGAAGAGGATTTCCTAAAGACGTAAACACCAGGAGGTGGAGCTCATTGGTAACCAGTGAAGTTACCTCCCACAGTCAGAATAAAGGAAGTGTTTAGTGAGAGATGGTAAATGGCAACAGAACTGAATGGCATATGTAATAGGTGAAAACAGAATCTTGGAATTGGGGAAGACTTTCCAAATTGTGCATCTAACTGTATAAATTATTAAATATGATACATCCATAAAATACAATGTCACGTGCCAAAAAATACATGGATCTAGTGAAGCAAGTCAAATGTTGATGGTAAGATTTGACGTAGTAAAGTAGGTGATGCTTGAATGAAGTCTTAATTTTATGCAATTTTCTAAAGTTTGAATAAAAACATCCCATGGTTAAATGTCTCTCTTCCCTTCAAAGAAAAGTATTCCTCAATAACCCACATTTATTGAGAATTTATGAGGCAGGTAGCATTTCTACATTATTCTTGTATACACTTATTTATTTAGTAGGGAAGCATTATTATTTTCTCCTTTTCCAAAAGATTTTGATATTTAGAAGTATCCCAGAGTATCGAAGGCGTTTTGCCTATACCAGCAGGCTTCTTTAAAAATATGTATGCATTCTGCTTCAGTCTCCTCCTACATCATAGATTTCCAGCCTACAGGTTTTCCAGATTGCTCTTTTCCTGCATAGAAGTCCTTCATCTCCTCTGCTCCCACGTTGAAAATATTGTCTTCAGTTTCCCCAGTAATGCATGTATTTCCTGTTTCAGGGATCATTGACGTTCAGCGATGTGGCCATAGCCTTCTCTCAGCAGGAGTGGGAAGGTCTCGACCCTGTTCAGAAGACTTTGTACCAGGACGTGATGATGGAGAACTATAGAAACCTGCTCTCACTGGGTATGTTTATCCGCCTCAGATAATTTAGATTAATTTAGAATCTGTTGTATCGGCTATGTGTTTTTTCCACTGCGATTTTCAGGGTGGCTTTTCAAGAAACTAGCTAAATTTGTTTTCCCTCCTCCCGAAAAAATGGTTCAAGCTATGTCAGGGTTAGAAATGGCAACTCCATTAAACACCTCCATCTTCCCTGTCCCTCAGTAACATTCTTAGCTCCCTCTGTTCTGTCTTTGTATTTGCCTCTCTTCCCTACTGACCAAGCAGCTCCATTAGCAGTCTGCAGCATGTGTTGTCAAACCGTTGTCACAGGATCCAGGTTTCTCGTTCGTTTGTGCTCCACATTGCTGTAATACATTTTATTGTCTGGGCCACTTCTAGGGATATCGGGTTGAGAGCGGGTCCTGAGTTGCTCTCATTATCAGAAGAGCCTCTGTAATTCATGTAGTGGTGGACTGGGTATTTGGAATTCATTTAAAACAGTGCCAAAAGCAATCTGTTTCCTAAGACACAGTTGGTCTGATGTGTGGTTTTGAGTCATGATCCATGAAAATTACAGTTAAAATGAAATGAATGTCCAATAGCTGTCTCTTCTTGTGTACTCTAGGAACTTCAGAGCATGTCATTAATAATGTTAATAGCTAACGCTGTGACTACTGTGTAGGCAGGCACATTATGTGATCTGATTAAACTAACTGGGAGTATTAACTGATTTAATCCCCCCAACAGTGCTACTATCACCCCCATTTTATAAATGAGAATACTAAGGTGCAGTGGGTTTAAGTGAACTGCCCAAGGTCATACCCAAGTGGAAGACAACAAACAGGAGTTGATCCCAGGCTCCAGAGTGTGTTTTCACTATCTTTATGCTTGTTCTCTAGTGTTAAAGGCCATATGAGTTTACATTTTAAACAAACAGTATAACAAAAACTGATCTCTTATTCTTTACTTCTTTCATTTTTCTCTCAAATATTGAATATCATTATGATCTTTTGATTATAGTAATTATAATTTTAAGTCTTGACTAGTGACTATTTCTCTATCCTGTGGCTTTTTTTTTCTCTGTAAGCAGGTCATGCCATTTCTAAGCCAGGTGTAATTACCTTATTGGAGCAAGGAAAGGAGCCCTGGATGGTTGTAAGGGAAGAAACAAGAAGATGGTGTCCAGGTAAGTGAGAGCAAGTCAGGCAGGAGAAGTCCTCTGTGTAGTGATGGCCCAAGTGGGGGACACACTTGGTAAACACATCCTGCGAACCCTGCTTGGGAAGCTCCCTTCTCTGTGAAGAACAGGCTTGTGATGGGGGAAGGAAATATCTCAGAATGAGACACCCAGTGAACTTCATCTTAACCTCATTAACCATTCGTCGTGTTACTTTTCTCGTATTTCCCTCCCAGTTTAGTGCTCGACACTCTCCTTCTTCCGCAGTGTAGCCATTTTGCCTGTACATAGTTTGGACCGAAATTCTTTCCAGATCCTCTTTTTCGGTGTGACTCCATTGTCTAAAATTACATTAATTCCTGTATCTGGCAAATATTGGAATCCTCTGAGTTTGGCCCTGCACGTGGCACCGTCAATCCAGGAATAATAAGTAGGGCAGAGAATGTTTCTGCAGTGATGGGATCATACTGTGTTAGGGACAACAAATAAATAGATAAGTAATATCAGGCAGTGAAATACGTTATGAAGGACCCTAACCAAGAACACAGCACATTTAGGTGAGGTCGCAGGGTCAGGAACCCTTTTCTGAGAAGGTGACGTTTGTGCAGAGATGTGAAGTAAGGGCTCAGGCGTTTTGAGTATGTGAGCGAGAACATTCCAAGGAGAGTGAACCTACGGCCCTCAAGGGGGATGAGGTTTGTGTGTTTGAGGAGTGGCAGGTTGATCAGAGTTAGTGAGTGGTGCCTGACAGGATGTGAAGCTAGAATGTCAGGAAGGATCAGATCCTATAAGACATTGTGGTTTGTTAAAAAGAATTAAAATTGTTTTCTAAGAGTAATTAGGATCCCTAATCCGATTGAGGTTTTTTATAAAACATTTTTGCCTTTTCCTTAATTGTAAGACTTACACAGAAGCCTAGATGAAACAACCATAGATTTGTTACTCATTTTCGTATCCAAATATTTCTTAATTCTTTTTGTGTTAACATTTATCGGGTGAATTTATTCTCATATTTCTTTCTAGGTTGGTATTATTTCTTTTTCATTTATTTGAAGTTTTCTTGTCATCTTTATTACCTAATTCTGAGTTCTAATTCATGTTTATGATCTTTTATATTTCAAACTATTTTCTTATCTTTTACTATGTTTTTCAATAGCATGGTAGTTTTCCCCTGTTGTGAAGGCATTTGTTTTAGATGTATTTATATTGTCTCTACAACTATCATTATCTTTAGGAATTTAACTTCTCGTATGGAACTTGTATTTCGGCCGTTTTTTTGGTCATTTTATTTGAGATTAGTTTTCCTCGATTTTGAGGAAAGAATCAAATTCTGAATACTTTTTCTAAATTTGGGATTGTAGAGCTCCCTCTTCTTTATCTAAGCATTTAAATTATCATGACTTCGAGAAGGGATGGCGATATTCAGGAACATAGTTTTTTATACTGTTGTCATTACGTTGGTATTAATCTGATCTAGATTGTTATAGATTAAGATGTTAATTGTAATTCCGAAGAAACCATTAAGAAATAACTAAAAAAGTTATGTAGCAAAAGAAACAGTAAGGGAAATCAATTGATACCCTAGGACATATCTGTTTAACCCCAAAGAAGGCAATAATTTTTAGAATGGGGGAAAAACATCTAAACCATATAGAAAATAAGTATCCAAATTTCAGGCATAAATTCTATCAGTAATTAAATGTAAACTAAGTACATACTCCATTTAAAAGACCAACATTGACAGACTGGATTAAAAACAAAAAAGGTTCTATCTCTGAGAAACACGTTTTAGGGTCAAAAACACAAATAGGTTAAAATAAATGATGGAAAAAGGTTAGAGTATGCAAAAAGTAACCAAAAGAGAGCTGGAGTGCTGCTAATATCAAAAAAAATAGACTTAAGGAAAAGCCTGTTAGTAGAAACAAAGAAGGATATTTTTGTAATAGTATGAGTCATTCCATCAATACAATGTAACACTAACAAATATGTATCAGTGAAGAAGCTCTACACTATATGGAGCTAAAACTCAACAGAATTAAGGAAAAAGTAGAACATTCAACTATAATTTTGGAGACTACAGTATCTCACTTTCCATGATAGATAGAACAACCAGACAGAAAATCATGAAGTCACTGGAAGATTTTAAGAAAATTATAAAGTTAGTAGGCCTAACACACTTTGGTGGGATACTCTGTCTAAAAAACAACAGTATTGGGGCTGGCCTGGTGGCACAGGGGTTAAGTTCCCACATTCCACTTCTCTGCGGCCTGGGGTTTGCCGGTTCAGATCCCGGGTGTGGATGTGGCACCGCTTGTCAAAAGCCATGCTGTGGTAGGCGTCCCACATATAAAAAAGTAGAGGAAGATGGGCATGGATGTTAGCTCAGGGCCAGTGTTCCTCAGCACAAAGAGGAGGATTGGCAGTAGTTAGCTCAGGGCTAATCTTCCTCAAAAAAAAGCAACACGGGATTACATTCTTCTTAAGTGGATATGGAACATTCTTCAGGATAGAGCATATGTTAGGCCATAAACAAGTCTCAATGAATTTAAAAGGACTGAATTATACAAAGTATAGTCTCTGGCCAAGGTAGACTGAAATGAAAAATTAATGAGAAAGAAATTTGGAAAATTTAATATGTGGAATTTACACAGCACACCCTTAAGTAATCTGGGTCAAAGTAGAAATGACAAATAGAATTAGGAGATGCTTTGTGATGGATGAAAATTAAAACACAACATGACAAAGTTTATGGGATTAAAGTAAAGCAGTGCTAATAAGGAAATTTATAGCTGTCAACCCCTCTATTAAAAAAGATCTTAAATCAATAACCTGCCTTAAGAGTCAAGAAAAAGAAGAGCAAACTAAACCCAAACCAAGCAGAAGGAAGGAGATAATAAAGATTAGAACACAGGTAAATGAAATAGAGAACACAAAATTAATAGAGAGCACCAACAAACTGAAAGTTTGTTCTTTGAAGAGTTAAAGAACGTTGATAAACCTTAGGACGGAAGAAGAAAAAAGAGAGAAAGCTCAAGTTACTACAATGGGGAATGAAAGAGGACTCATTTCTACTGAACTTACAAAACCTAAACGGGAGTGTATGGGAAATTTATGGATAATTGAATGCCAACAAATTGGATAACCTAGAAGAAATGGACACATTCCAACAAATACACCAAATACCACCTGTGAAACAAGAAGAAATGGAAAATCTGAATAAATATATAGAACAAGTAAAGATATTGAAGCAATAAGCCAAAAACTTCCTACAAGAAGAAGGCCAGACCTAGATAACTTCCCATCTGGAGTCTAGCAAACATTTGAATAAGGATTGACACCAGTCCTTCACAGACTCTTTTGAAAATCCTAGATGGGCAAACACTTCCCAACTCATTCCTTGAGGCCAGTGTTACAATGATACATGACCAGGCAAAGACAAGAAAGGGAACCTATGGACCAATATCTCTTATGAGGATATATGCAAAAGGTTCAGCCAAACTACGAAACCAAATGCAGCAACATATAAAAAGGATTATACATCATGACCAAATGAGGTTGACTCAATAAAGGAAAATGAATTAATGTAATACATCTTGTCACTAAAGGTAAAAAGCTACGTGATCCTGCCAACAAATGCAGGAAAAGCACTTGATAAATCCAGTACCCTTTCAAGATAAAAACTCTCAACAGAGTAGGAGTAGAAGACTTCTGCAACCTGATAAAGGCCGACTACAAAATGCAGCTAATATACTTAATGGTGAAAGACTAAAAGATGTTCCCGTAAAATCAGGAACAAGAGGATAACCACTCTAACACCTCTATTCAGCATTAGTAGCTAGGGCAATTAGGCGAGAAAATGAAATAAAAGTCATGTAGATTGGAAAAGAAGAACAAAACTAGGTCTCTTTGTCTGTGATATGATCTGGTATATAGAAAATCCTAAGGAATCCACAGGAAAAACAAATAGAGCCAATACATGAGTTGAGCAAGGTAGCAGGATACAAGATCAGTATACAAAAACCAATTATATTTCTGTACACTTGGAATTAATAATCCAAAAGTGAAATTAAGCAAAGAATTCTGTTTACAGTAGCATCAAAAAGATTAAAATATTAGGAGCAAATTTAATAAAAGAAGTGTAAGGCTGAACACTAAAAATATCAAGAAAGAAAAGAATATATAAATAAATGGAAGGACATCCCATATTAAGGAAACAAAATACTTAATATTGTTAAGATGGTACTTCCCCAGTTGATGTAGATGTTCACCACAATCCGTATCAAAATCCCAGCTGGCTTGATTATGGAAATTGGCAAGCTGATCCTAAAAATTATATGGAAGTACAAGGGATCCAGAATTGTGAAAAAAAAAAAAAAGAAAGCTTTAGAAAGACGAAAGTAAGAGGAATCACTTTTTCTAATTTCAAACTTTACTGCAAAGCTGCAGTAATCAAAGCAGTGTGGTCCTGGCATGATGATGAACACGTGTATATAAGTGGAATTTAGTTGAGAGTCCTTAAATAAACCAATATATGTATGGTCATTTACTTTTTTAAGGAGGATGTCAACCCCGTTCATTGAGGGAAGTGGAGGAGGGGAAGAATCTTTTCAACAAATGGTTCTAGGTCAAGTGTATATTCACATGCAAAACAATGGAGTTGGACTTCCACTTTCCACCAACTACAAAAATTAACACAAATTAGATCAAAGACCTAAATGTAAGTGCTTAAACCAAATCTTTTAGAAGGAAGTATATGAGTAAATCTTTGTGACCTTCAATTAGGGTTTGTTTTTTTTTTTAATATGACACCAAAAACACAGGCAACCAAGACAAAATAGATAAGTAGGTCATCATAAAGCTTAAAAAGTTTTGGGATTCACAGGACACAGTCAAGAAGATGGAAAGTCAACATGCAGAATGGGAGAAAATACTTGGGAATCATACCTACGAGGTTCTAGTAGTCAGAATTTATAAAGAACTCCTACAGCTAGAACAAAAAGACAAACTGA